TAAAAACATATATATTATTGGCCATTTTAAGAATACACAATAATGAATTTATTTATTTTTTGGGTGCTGAAAAAGCCTAGAACAGGGTGGAATGAGAGTACTGCATACAAAAGAATGTACAAGTCCATTTGGTTAAGAAATGGATGGACATCATAGATGCCAGCAACGCTTTCAGTAAATGGAAGATGGTTTCTTAAAAAGCCTCTTTTAGCATGAGGTCACAGAGGAGGTATTGGCTGCTCCAAAGGAGCTGTAAAATGTTACAGAAGGATAAAGGTAGTTCTTAGACCACCTTGTAAGTACAGTATAGATCCATGTCCTCATTGGATCCTCAACTTTGTGACTTGATCCACAGATTAATGTTCCAATCCATGCATGGATCTGAGAGGAGCGGAATGGGTAGGTTCATCATGCCACAACATGGAACAAATGTGCATCCGCCGCATCACTAGTTTTAACATAGCCTTAGGGTGTTAGGGTGCTGTCGTGTGTAGGGCTCCCCAGAGAAGGAAGAGAGGAATTTTGTGCTGGGGCATTGAACGCCCTTGACATCGTTCTATCATTTTGTATAGACGGCATGAAAATGAGATAGCACTGGAAATGAGAGGCAAACAAACTGGTATGCAAACACGAAAGAACAGGAAGATAAGGTTGATTTACACTGCTCTCCAGCAATGATAGGAATAGCATTTTACAGGGGGGAGCCAGGGTTGCAGTTTACATAAGAAGCATAATTCGGGTGCACCCATGTCTATGTGGCCATAAAGGAAAAGCATCACATAGAAAGATATGAATAGGAGCTGATCTTGACTCCCATTCATATCTTTAATTGTTATATTTTATTGATGTGTTTTGGAGCAAACTGCTTTGAAGTAAACTGCTTCAGACAGAAAAGCAACCAATGAATATATAAATTTATATTTTACATATACGGGCTGTATTCAGTGGAGCACTAAGCAAAATGATCCATCAGAGCAAGGATTTCTCCTTGCAAATGTAGCATTCTCCCCCGCTCCTTCCTCCATACTCCCCCTTACTCTCTTGTGGGTTTCCCCCAACACACTGTAGCAGATTTGGCATGGGGCACAAGGGGGGAATTCCATTGCACTGATTTTTTATTTATTTTTATTTATTTATTGAATTTATATACCACCCTATAACCGGAGGACTTGGGACGGTTCACAGAATAAAGCCAAAATATAAAACTACAAAATACGCAATCAAAATAAAAACAACAACCCAATACCCCCCATGAAAACCCACCATATTTTAAAAGGGCATAGGATACAAATCAAGTCAACTAAAGACCTGGTTGAAAAGAAGAGTTTTTGCCGGGCGCCTAAAGGTGTACAATGAAGGCGCCAGGTGAACTTCCCTGGGGAGAGCATTCCACAATGGGGAGCCACTGCAGAGAAGACCACCCTCCAGACCTCTTGATGAGGAGGCAAACTAAGAAGGGTCTCAGAAGATGATCTCAGAGTCCAGGTAGGTCCTTGAGGTATTGCAGTCCTGAGCCATTTAAGGCTTTATAGGTCAAAATGAGCACTTTGAATTGGGCCTGGAAACTGATCGGTAGCCAGTGCAGTCAGACCTTGCACTAAGGCAGCTATTTAGTTGAATATTGCCCTATGTATACACTTAATCTGTTTGTGTCCTGCCCACACCCACAGCTCTCACATCAGGTAACAAAACTCAACAAAACCCAACATTTAAAAATCACAGTACATAACAAAACGAGGGGCAAAGGCAGGAGAGACAAGTTTGCAGATACATAGGGCCCTTTCTTGCATTATGTGGCTGATCAGAGAGGTATAATACAAAACCATCTCTTCTCTAGAAAATATTTTGGTTAGATTTATTACCGAGACACCGCCATGCTTAAGCTGTCCCCAACTGTTGTTGCTAAGTAAATGTATTTAATGTGTTTGTAAATTCTCTCTTTCGGCACCTAAGTAAATTGTTGTGAACTGTATTGTTATTGTTATGGTTATGGTTATGTTAAAGTTCCTTTGTATAATTACATATTGTATGATGTTGCGACATCATGGATTTATAAATTAAAAGAATTAAAGATCATGATACTGTAAAATACAACATTACGTACTATGGCACTTTATATTTTGTTCAGTGTAATGTGATTTTTTTAAGTCTCACTTAGAAACCACGATACCATTTTATCTAAGATGTACAAATGTGTGCCATCAAGATAAGCTTAATGCGAAACTTCATTTAAACAATGTGACAAGCTTTGGTCACACTTTTTGTTACTTCTATGAGACAGCAAGCCAGTTTTTCAGAAGGGAATTGTCCTGGAAACCACTGTGTGTAAAACACAACAGGGGATTTACAGCATTCAATCTGCATTGTCGGAGGCATTTACTGAGTATTGACAAGCAAATACCAGTCTGATCCACAACACAAATGAAGTTAGAATATCAGGATTTGAGAGCTCTCCTTTGTTGCGTTTTGAGGATGTTCCTGGCAACCTCAAATGCAGCAGTTGCTTATGGATTTGGAGAACTAGAGCTGTTGCACAAATAACCTCGAATTCGCTACTTTTTTGGAGCAGGAAAACTGGGGAAACCATTTCACCACCTTTCTCTAGAAGAAATTCTTTAACAATTTCTTGGGTGGAGGATGCCAGGCACTGTAGTGTACCCTTCACAGAGTTCCAGTAACCCTTAACAAGCTGCAGTGCCCAGAATTCTTCAAGGGGTGAAGTGTGCTTTGAAGATGCTTCAAAGGTATAGTGTGTAAATAGACTAAGAACATAATAAGAGCCCAGCTGGATCAGGCCAATGGCCAACCTAGTCTAGCATCCTGTTGTTACAGTGACCAACCAGACACCTGTGGGAAGCCTCCAAGCAGGACCTGAGTACAACTGTGGTCTGTCCCACCTGCAGTTCCCAGAAAGTGGTATTCAGAGGCATAGCAAAAAGAAGCCATTTTGTTTGCACTGTGATCTGACCGAAAAGGCCTCAAAATGCCTCTTTCTAGAGAAGCATTTTCTTAAATAATGGCACGGAGGGAAGTAACATGAGCTTAATCATTTCCAAATGGATCTTGAAAAATGTTTGGAAATTTACCATTTTACAAAATCACTGCAACGCTACTAGAAAGTTACAGCAGTTTCCAGTAAACTTGCACTTTTAAGTTTCATCCATGTGGTCAGTTTCAGGACGTCCAGTTCCCCTTTTTATTGTATGTAAACCCTTGATACTTGTTTTAAAGACTTTTTTCAAATGTTGGTATTTACCAAAATGTTGAACCTGGTGTTCCAAGAAAGAGTGTTCCACTGAAACACTTAGGCTAGATGCAGGATAGTTTATGTACCTGCAAAATGGCTTAAGCTGTATCTTCCCAAAAGGCCACAGGAAAGAGAATCTGATCAGGTCATGACCCAGTCAAAAGAGCTCATGCAGAATTCCTTATTTTCCTTAGGAAAGCAGAAATATCAGCAAAAATTCCAGTTGTGAAGCTGAAAGATTTAGTAGCCTTTCATGAAAACCATCTGCTCCCCATCAGCTGACCATTTTGACATCTCATCAGCAGTGGAGACTGCTGATATAAAACTGCAGCTACTGTCTTACTGTGCCAACAGCACTGTGTAGGTATAGATATCAGAGTAGGTTTTAAGCTAGCGCTGTGCCAAAAACTTTATTCCAATTTCCTAAAAGTCTTCTTACTCTTGCAAAACAAGTTTCCATTTCTTGGCCTTGTTTGTCAGTGGATGCAAAATCAAACTTGCCTTCTGTTGTGAGATGGCTGAGGTGTGTGTGTGTGTGTGTGTGTTCTACATCTTTCCATTAAACATTTTTCCAGTGCCTTGCAGCCTCCCTGGCTGCCTGTCCTTCCTGACCCGAAAAAAGCCTGATAAGAAGAGTTCCAACATGACATCTACCCCTGAACTTTGTGGGAACTGACTGCTGAGTCTCTGAGATGGGTGGGCTCACAGGCTTTGTTTTTAAGGGAAGTTGTTCCTTTTACCTTAAAAAGAAGATCTGCACTGATCAGAAGTTTAAAGACTTTAGAAATAAAAGCAATAATAACACTTTAACACTGGTGCCCTAAATGGATGTGGATGTGGCCTCAGAAGAGGGCAGCTTCCCAGGCTTCCAGTGTTCCTATGAGGCTGAAGCAAATTTAAGTTAAGGGAAATAATTTTGATACCCCCCTCACACACAATCATTTCAGTCCTAGTAAAGAACACAGATTGGTTGCCGCTGATGAACACGGCAATGAACAGAAACAAGATAACTGCCGGGAAGCCTTGTCCTTGCATTGAACTCTTGCCTGAAGGCTTTGACCGGCAACACCTTCAAGAAGGATAATGTTTTAAGCTGAAATTAATATGAAATGTTAAAAATTATATACATATGTGGCTGATTTGTGTGACATTTAATACGGGCTCCTTTTCCTGGACTTTTGGGCAGCTATCCACAAAAAGCGTTGTTACAGGAAGGGTTAGGTTTGTAATTTGGTCCTGGTGGGTGAAGTTTCTGGCCCTCTCTTGCTGATGACACTGCCTTAAATTATAGTGTGCGTTGCACTGGGGAGAACAGCACTGCATCTCTAAAGAAGCTCTGGTCCTTTCTGGAGGGCTTCCCCCCCCCCCCCCGTCTTTAAAGGAATTGGCAATGTAGCTGAAACATTGGGTGGAATTTGGCACTTACTCTTTGCAGACTATAAAGTATGCAGGGGATTCAATCTACATAACCTTGAGAATGCTTTTTTCACCAGCTGTTGCTGCTGCAGCAGCTATAGGCAGGGTAGATGGTGCTCAGGTTTCTGTTCTGTGGATTGTATTTAATCTTTACTCAGAGTAGACCCATTGATATTAATGGCCATGGCAAACTTAGGTCCATTAAAGTCAATGGGTCTACTCTGAGTTAATGTTGATGGACTCAACCCCATACACATAGGCTGTTGATCATGGAATCATAGAATTGTAGGGATCGCATGGGTCTTCTACTCCAACCTCCTACAATGCAGGAATCTTTTGCCCAACACGGGGCTCAAACCCACGACCTTGAGATTGAGCGTCTCATGCTCCACTGACTGAGACATATCATACAGGATGTTTGGTGAGGGATAAGACTCCTTCAGCATATGCAATTCCGAAAACTCAGTCGGTGCCAATGTGGTTTTCACCAGAATTTAAATGTCGTCAGACAATGTGCAGCATCCTTACAGCTGTCTCTGTTTATGTGGTTTGGTGTTAACATGGGATTCGAACCCACCACTCTGAGATTAAGAGTCTCATGCTCTACCAACTGAGCTATGCCAGGGTGTATATGCCAGGCCCTGTTTCTTTTGTGAAGTACATTGGGATAGAGGAAGGCTTTTGCATTGAGATTGGATACTTTCCTCACTTTCTGTTGATGAGGTTGCTTGATAGGATTCCTACTTTAAATGGCAACAGTTGTCTGTGGCATTATCTGCATTTTTAATTATAAGGTTGCATTTCATCAGGCTGAAGAACTTTGGTGATAGCTCAAGGTGTTTTGCAGCCTTCCTGACTGAGTGGGGCCTTCCTCCGAGACTTTAAAAAAATTAATGGAAAACTAATAATTTACTCCCATTCAAGAGAAACTTAGAACCCTGTGCTCAAGCCCCTATTTATGTGTATTTCAGTGCTTTTGAACTGCTAGCTCAGACACATGCAAGTTGAGCAAAGAAATGTGATTTAAGTGCAAAAGCTTATTATCTACTTAGACTCAACACCTTTCTTAAATAAATAACTTCCTTAAGCTTCCATTGATGTCTTTCAATTACTCTTTCATGTTTACAACAAAAGTAAGTACAAGAGGATTTATTAAAGATCGTGTAAGCATGATTGATGGTAGGGAAGGGGAGATCTTGAATGGGGAGACTTGTGCGAATCAAGAGTTTGGAGTGATATAAGCTGAACTGCCAGACAGTTTGTATACAATTTGTCAGACTATCCATTCATCTAGTCCAGAATGTTTACTTGGACTGGAAGTAGCTATCCAAGGTCTTAGGCTCCAGAGGTTTTTTCCATCACCTGCTACCTGATCCTTCTAACTTGAGGCACCAGGGATTGAAGTTGGGGGCTTCTGCATGCAGAGCATGGGCTCAACTACTGAGGTATGACTTGGAGAACTTCATTTTAAACAGAATTCTACCTGTTTAAAAAATGAACCTTCATTCTCCATATAGAAGCTATCATGTGTCACAAACTGAAGGGCCTGGAGGTAGGTGGGGTGACTCAGTACTTCAGGTGAGCCCCACAATGGCTACAGCCTTGGTGCCACTTGAAGGCTTTGGTTCATAAGAACGTAAGAGCCTTGCTTGATCAGACCAAAGGCTTATCTACTAGTCTAGCATCCTGCTTTCACACTGGTCAGCAAACAGGCCTTGAATTGGCATCTCTCTCCCCATCTACGATTCCCACTCAGGGGCAGATTTCCTCTGATAGTGGAGTCAAGCATAGCCAACACCGTTAGCAGCCATTGATATTTATCCAATCTGCTTTTAAGGCAGCTTTAGTTTGTGGCCATATCTACGTCTTGTGGGGGCAAATGCCGTAGCTTATGTACATGAAGAAATACGTTCTTTTGTCTGCCCTGAATCTTCCAACATTCATCATCATTTGATGTCCCCAGATTCTAATGTTCTGAGAGGCGGAGAAGAACTTTTTGTACATTTCTAGCATGTCTCCAATTACTTGACCTTTCCCCCCCTAAACAAAAACCCTACAAATACATTTCCTCATAGGCGAGTTGTCCCAGTCCCTTGACCATTTTGGTTCCCACAGTCTCTCCATCCATTGGGATCTCCACCTGTGTCCAGAGCCTCACCTGCACCCTCATTTCAGACCCCTGTCTTCTTCCCCACTTCCTACCATTCCTATTCATCTGCAGCTTATGATCTGTATGAGCATAATGTGACCTGTATGACCACCATATGCATGTGGAAATGTGGCCATTTCTCAATCATATGCTCCTCGCAGCTTCTGGATTTCTTGAAAATTAAAACCTGTGCAACAACAACACCGACATTGCTGAGGTTGAAAAATCAAGGCACACAAGATTCCCACCACAAATAGGTTATGAAAATTAAATTAAGCTGCTTCAGATGACGTAAGGTCATCTCCAGACGATGTAAAGTTCAAGCTTAACGTCCAAGGGAGTTTCAATAACAAAGGGGGCATTTAAGAGTGCCAGTGTGGTTTTCACCAGAATTTAAATGCCGTCGGATAAAGTACATTTCAATATACTTACAGCAGTCTCTGTTTACGTGGTTTTGTGCCAATGTTTGGATTTATAATTAGTTGCTATTGCAAATACTTTGGAAAGCCTCTGCTAAAGTCATCTTTCTCCACCATCAAATCACTCCTCCTCCTTATGTCTGTTCACCAGCCCATTATCACTTCCCACATTGACTTAAAGATAAGCAAGGCAAGGAATACGGGGATAAGAAATGTGATTGGATGTGCTTTTTTTTTTTTAAGGACTGGTTTAGACAGCTTCTGGGATTCTCTTTCTGTTCTAAAATAGCATAGATGTCCAAATAATGTGTACAATGAGTTTAACAGATTCTTCTGAATTGTCTGAAGCGGGAAGATGCAGTAGGAAGAAAAGGCTTGCAATGAAAACTCTAAAATGAGAGATCAATGGAGGCTGGTCCTTTATGGTGAATCGGCCTCTGCCCCACCAACTTGAGTCCGGCATTAGCCAGCCCCCACCAGCCTGCAGTGGATGGCCTTGCCCTTCAGCTTCCTTCTCTTTAGTGCTGCCCTTCCAGAACTCACCAGGAGGAGAAGAATAGGGGCAAAACCAGAATCAGTTGGTTCTGTCACTCATTGGCTTTGGCACCACAAAGGGAGGCAGTGAGAGGTTTTACTTTCTTGGGCTCCATGATCACTGCAGATGGTGACAGCAGTCACGAAATTAAAAGATGCCTGCTTTTTGGGAGAAAAGCAATGACAAACCTAGCCAGCATCTTAAAAAGCAGAGACATCACCTTGCCAACAAAGGTCCATTTAGTCAAAGCTATGGTTTTCCCAGTAGTGATGTACAGAAGTGAGAGCTGGACCATAAAGAAGGCTGATCGCCGAAGAATTGATGCTTTTGAATTATGGTGCTGGAGGAGACTCTTGAGAGTCCCATGGACTGCAAGAAGATCAAACCTCTCCATTCTTAAGGAAATCAGCCCTGAGTGCTCACTGGAAGGACAGATCCTGAAGCTGAGGCTCCAATACTTTGGCCACCTCATGAGAAGACTCCCTGGAAAAGACCCTGATGTTGGGAAAAATTGAGGGCACAAGGAAAAGGGGACGACAGAGGACAAGATGGTTGGACAGTGTTCTCAAAGCTACGAACATGAGTTTGACCAAGCTGCAGGATGCAGTGGAAGACAGGAGTGCCTGACGTGCTCTGGTCCATTGGGTCACGAAGAGTCGGACACGACTAAACAACAACAACAACAACTATTGGGCTCCCTGCCTTCTGCCCTGCCAATCCCAATGGGCACCAGCTACCAGTGTGAGAAATCACCGGCAGTAGAGTCAGACAGGCAAGCATAGATTTTGGAGAAATCAAAATCCCCAAAACTGGTAGGATTTAGATCTAACAAGAAGAAGCAGAAGTAAAGGGTGTGTAAAAGAAAACAGCCCCAATGTCACAATGTGTAAATCAATTCTCCATGGTATCCAAAGAGCAGAGGTTTGTATTTCCTGGATTCGGAATATAAGTACGTGACCATAATGCTCATCCTCAAATACAAGGTGAGAACCATGACCCCAAATTTCTTCTTCAACTCAGATTTAAATATAAGTCAGGCGAGAATTCAGCTCATTCCAGCTCTGAGGTGCAGGCAGATGGCAGGGCTGCCCTGGGTGGGAAGAAAGGGGGAGCAGAGCAGAGCACAAGGAGTCTTGATTTTTTTATTATTTAAAAAATGCTTTGTGCATCCATGTCTAATCTTGCCCTTTTCTGAAATTCGTTTATTGGTGTGTGTTTTCCTTTTTGTAAATCTACCAAAGAACAAAGTAAAATAAAGTTGGGATTAAGGGTTTTTCTCGGGGTGGTGGAGGAGTGTGTGTGCAGCATCCCACTGGTGTGGTGGTGCAGGAAATGGTCTGTGGTGGGGAGGAAAAAAACGGGGGTGTCAAGGAGGGTCAGTTGGGGGGCGAGGAGTGAGAAATGCCCCTATTTTCACCTGAGGAATGTTGGGGGGCATGCATTTTCTGTTTTGTTGGCAAATGGGCTTCCTCCATCTAGGAAGGATACCTTCTTGCAAGGATAACTTTCTCCTCTCCCATCTCCATAGCTGTAGGATCAGGACTGGTGTATTGGTTGTACTAACAGGAAAGAAGCTGCTGTCCTATCTAAGTTTAGAGAATGACTCCATGGTAGAGCATTTGCATGCAAAAGGTCCCAGATTCCTTACCTGGCATCTCCAGGCAAGGTAGGCTAGGAGAGACTCCTGTCTGAAACCCTGGAGAGCTTTTTCTAGTCAGTGTGGACAATACTGAGGTCAATGGTCTAACTCAGTATAAAGCAGTTTCCTCCATTCCTATGTTTCTAACTCCTGATCTGTGTTTCGCCTCAGCATAGGGTCAACCCAACCCAACTGACTTGTTTCTGAGAGCATATCCTATGTCCGAGAACAAGCATGGTAGCTTCCCCGCCATCTGCACACTGCTGTTCAGATACACCCACCTAAACAAAACCCTGCTGCGGCCCTTTCAACTAAATCAGCTTTTGTGTGTGCCACTGGGGTGGTTCAATATGATTATGAGCAGGTCCAAAAGTTGGCTCTGACTTTAAGTGTAACAGAAACTCAGGAGCCTCTTCTGTATGTGCTGGCCACAATCTCTGCCTTTCCTGCCAGCAAGCTTATGCTTTGGCATCTGCAGACACATCACAGCTGTCCAGCTGATAAACTGACGCACTCTGGGTGGCCCCATCCTCCTCCTGAGATTTCACAACTGCTGCTGCTGCCGCTGAGAAGCAAAGCGAGAGGTTTCCAAATTCTCCTACAGAGAGAGAGAGAGAGAGAGAGAGAGAGAGAGGGCTGAGATTGCAGCGCCAGTGCAGGGCTGACTTCTCAGTAGTGCTGATGTTCTCTTCCATACAATGCTGTGTTTTCCTTCAGCTGTGGCAAAACTTTAAGCTGTGGGTCATAGCTTAATGGTAGGGTGCCTGATTTCTATGCAGAAGGTCAATCTGCTGTCTCTGCTTAAAAGATCTTTAGAAAGTATCTGTTGCCATACAATGCTAGGCTAGGGATGGACCCATAGTCTGATTTGTTATGAGGT